AAAGTTGGGGCCAAATGCTGTTCACCTACTGGAAGCCACTGCTGCGGAATGGAGCACAACAGCTCGGAGGTGGGGTGCCGAGGGAGGGACTGCCGGCAATTTTCAGTAGCAAAGAGAGAAAAGCCACAAAGCTGAACTGTGGAGTCCACAGGTTCCCCCACTGTGGAACATGACACTGGGGGAACCTTCATATTCAGAACGACACACACATAATAAGGTACCTCAAGCCACTACTCACACACCCTAATGAACATTACACTCCAAAATCAATTCCATAGGCGCCTGAGCTCCACATTCCACCAGACCCCACCGGAACTCTCTGCAGAGTTAGATCAAGAGGCCATGAGAAAAATCACTTCCTCCTAATGGCTATAAGTTGGTCTCCAACCCTAGTCACCAGGATTAGCTAAATGGATCAGACTTGCTTTCAAAGGACGAAAGCTTTGCCCATGAGAGGCTTTTGTTCAGTTCCACAAGTATACACTGATTCTGGCCAATGTGAAGCTGGTTTCCTGATGAAGAAGTCAGATACAATTGGGCGGGGAAGAGCTTCCTAAGAGCCAATGTTGCTTCCTCGCTTCTGCCAACACCCAGCAAAACATATCTCCTTTTTCTTCTAAAGGTTATATGAGAAAAGATATCCTGCAGATGTCTCAAGCAATGATAGCAATGAATGACAGCAGAGCCTTTTCTCTCTCAGTGCCAGGGTAAAGGAAAGCTCAAGTGTCCCAGAGCTCTTGGAGGGCTACAGAAGGAAGCTTGAAATATTTTATCCTTCTTAGAAAGTCACTGCTCATCAGCACAGATGATGACGCTAAATGAAAAAACAAGTATTTTACATCCAGGAGGAAGCTCTTCTGTGCCAAAATTCAGGTGGAGTTGAATTTATTATTTAGTATTACATTCAATTTCTAGCTATTTTTTTAAAGGATCCTCAGTTTTACACATCTTAGGCAAACTGATTCCCTGGTGAGGAAAATATTTACTGAAAAACATTTCTCTCTGCTGGGCTGAAAACAGGGTGATTGGAAAATGGAACTTATTCAAATCATTCAAGATACTCTATCTGGATAATACTAAACTCCTCATCCTTCAAAACTTGAGTTGTAAACATGTAGGTAGTACTTGTAAAAACATGAAAAGGCCACGCAGGGTAGCTGTTCTTTTGCGTGCAATCAGAGCCTTGGTGGCAAATCTGGTGTTTTCAGAGCACCCACCTACTCTCCAAGGACCACAGAAGCTCACCCAGGGTGAAGGGAGCACCAGCATTTCCTCAGAACCATCAGCTTCACAACACCAACAATTTCCTAGTAGCATCCCTTACTAAGAGCGTAGTGCCTAAAGCATCTTTACTCACAATATAAGCAAAAACTGACTGTTTTTGCTTCCCTGTGAGGAGGGGATGTCAAGGGCAGAAGTCTAAATTATGCTGTAGTCCTACCTTCATCTTCACATTGGCCAGAGAAGGACATCTAAGCCGGGTTTGGGGGGACATGCCTATCATCCCAGCACTTGGGAGGCTGAGGCAGGAGAGATCACCAAGAGTTCAAGGCCAGCCTGGGCTACACACTGAGTCAAAGCCAGCCTGAACTATATAGTGAGACTCTGTCTCAAAACAAACAAACAAATAAACCACCAACAGTACATCCATAGAGAGCTCTCATGAGTGGGAGAAAATACCTCACATACCTTAGCAGCTGCCAACAGCAAATGCTAAAAAATAATCAACCTCACTTTAGTTCCTTTTCTTCTCTAGCCTTAAAACATATTGCTTTTCTAAATATTTTCCAGAAGTTTTTTTGTAGGCTAACTACATGCTTTGTTTTTTTAAAAAAATAACTTTATGTTTTAATTTTAAGGAGAAGCAACTCACTGCATTGTCCAGGCTACTCTTGGAACTCCTGTACTAAGAGATTCTCTTGCTTTAGCTGCCAGTGTAGCTGGGACTACAGATGTGTGACACCTTGCCTGGCTCAATCTGTTTCATCAATGTGGGCTAAATAAATGCCTGTTTAAAGAAACAAAAGACAAAGTCAGCTTCCTTCCTACATGAAGCACTCTGCTAAGGAGAGAATTTTACTGCCCTAGGCGTCTACAGCATCATCCAGCCCTGCTCCGTTCACCTGTGTTCCTCAAAGGAACTCACATTCTCCCACAGGAACTCTTACGCTGGAGCATCCCTTCCTGATACCAGAAGAAAGTGGCCTCTAAAGAGGAAGGCACTCATGGAATCTCTCCTATGCACACTGTGGCAGTTTGGCCCACTGCTTGGAGACACAGTTTGGGTATCACACTTTGTAGAAGAATGTCTTCCAAGGTTATTGTATAAAGTATGTGAGTCCCATCTATAAACCCTGACACTACCCAACGCTTTTGAGATTGATATGCAGCTGCCTTTAATTTGCTCTGCACTTTTGGTCTCAAAGTTATGAATGATCAGAGGACAGATTCAGAGCTGTGGCCCTGAATGCTATACTAAGGCCTGTTGGCTACTTGCTGATGCTGGCTCAATGAAGCATGCTGCTGAGTAAACTTGTTCCACTTCTTGCTCTCCACTGAATAATTTTCTATAAATGATGGACTCTTCCTGTTTGAAAAAAAAAAAGATGTATCATTTGGTTCTTGTAAGACTTTGGAATTCTGAAAATTCAAATTTAATCAAGTGGTTCTTTGATCTTGTGTGCAAATAAATCATTTGGGAAGTTCATCTAAATGTAGATTCCTGTGTCCCACTTCTAGATTGAGTTCTTTAGGTAAGTCCAGTCTTTGAATGAACATGTGATACCATGTGACTTTGATACAAACTTAGTCCAGAGTCTTTTTGGAAATCACCTGGCTCCTGTACTTAAAAGATTTCACGAGTATGACCAGGTTCTTCTACCTCTAAACACACTTTGGAAGTGGAATAAGAATCTCCTTGGGTGTCATGGTTTTCTTGTGAGGTCCGACTGAGATAATGCCATGGAAATGTGGCAAAGGGTGGGCACGAGATAGATTTCACCTCAAATGATCTGTCCCACTTCTCCCATCCTGTCCTTCAGTGTGAGGTCAGGGCACACCTCTCATCTTGAGCCACAAAAGGGCTCACCTGTCAAGAGGGATGACAGTCCTTAATCCACATCTTCCCATAATCACACCAGCACACCAATGCTCAAACATCCTTTCTACACAGGCTCTTCTCACTGAGAGCCACAGAGAGGAAGATTCACTGGAGAATGTGTAGGAACAGCAAACAACATTATCACTGCTTCACAGAGGGGCTTATACTTCCTCTTAAGTGTGCAGTCTAACTCTAAGATGGTTTAACACTCGGTATGACTTTAGTCCTTGATACAGAATTGATCATTTGCAGTTTGAGTTTGAGTGGCTCATTAAAACTAAAACACAACAGAAACAAATCTATTCATCAAACCTGCTCTTATTACTTGCTGTTCAAGTCTGTAACTACAATTTGGTTTCCAGTAGGCCCACTGAACTGAAATATATAGCACCTTGTTTAAAAACACATAAAACACGTACATATTTTACAAAATTATATATAAAAGCACTAGGTTTGGCCTGCTCCATTCTACCCCCCCAAGGAAAAAGGTTGAAGCTGTTGCTGAAAATTAAGTAGGGCAACACAATACTTTAGTAAACTTTATTCCCTGAAGTTAGGAGGTGCTGTCCTGCAGCTGTCACACCACCTCGTCAGACTCCAGCCCATGAACTTCATATAAAGTGTCCAGTATAGCCAGCTGCTTTTCCATGGCAGGAAGGTAAAGGCTTAGGTCCCTCTGCATCCCAACGCTGAAAGCTTCCTTCTGGTGGTCACCTTCCTTTATGGTTAACGCGGCAACAAAATCTTCATAGGATGGAGCTGCCCTCAGGGCTAACTGCAAAAGAATTGCCTGTGAGGATCTGCATCAGGACTGTTTCTGGCACACTTACTCTTATGCATGTGGCCATGCATACATACACACTCACATGTACAAAAAGCTAAGAGAACAAGAGTAAAGAAATATGAACACCTTTCTCCATTCACGAATTCTCTAAAATTATGTTCTAAGCACTAAATCATATAACTTTAAAGCTAAGAGCTGCAAGTGTATATTTAATGATAAACCATGCCACCAAGTCAGGAAATGCTGAGAGAGGAGGAGTTTCAGAAATTTCCCTCTTCATCCATAGGGTGATCCAGATTATTTCCCCAGAATCCTCAGAATCGACCTGTGTGCATGTTGCCATGTTTCTGTTTCCACATGTTCAGCCTTCCAAGGTACTTAACTCTCCCGTTTTATATCTCATTTCCATTTATGTTTCTTTGCATATCTCCTATTTTTTTACCCACATGGAACATATTTCCTTTGCACCCTTGAGTATTCTTTAAAAAGGAAGGACACTAAGATTTGCTGTGAGCTGATTCCATCAGAACCTGTGATCACCTCTGTGCTTTTCAACCACACCATGCCACTTTCTAACAGACTTCCTAGACTCCTTATCATTCCCTTCCCTTCTTCTCCCCATCCCTCTTCTTCCTTTGCAGTCTATTTGCTAATCTTGCTTTAAAAATCTCCTTTCTGATACCTACACTATGTTGGCTCTCCTGAGATCAACACAGAAGCTTGAATTACTGTTCTATAGTTGCTCTCTAGATTTTCCTTACACTTTAATTGTCTTTGAGAATCAATCCTCCCCATTTCTTCAGTAAATGATTAGCATCATCACGCAGAAGCTAAACACAGGTATGAATGAAGCAGACTGGAGTGAATCTCACACTAGCCTGAGGAATTCAAGCAACATGCTAAACTAGAACTTCATTTTCCTCATTTGTAGAAGGCAATACCACTTTCCTTATTTTAAGGATTAAAAGGATATGTACAAAGTGTTTTACCCCTGCTTGGTATATAACACTCAGATAATGCTAAAGATATAAAAGTGTCCCAGAGGTGACAATAAAGAGTTTATATATGAGAGGATAGGAATAACATTAGGTTTTCTTACTAGAAAACCTCTGACTACTGGCAGTCAAAGCTGGCGAACAATATAATCATGCTTTTAAAACTCTTAGGGAAAATGATTATTAACCTAGTTCTATCAATACCCAAACCAGTACTCTAGAAATACTAGAATTCAACTGTTTGGTCTGGCTGAAGAAAAAAACAAAAAGATCTAATAACTGGTTTGCAATGGAGCTGGAGACAGATGCTACATGGGTTCCGGAGACAACTGTCTTAAGATAAAAATCTATTTGGCTGACGATTCAAATCCCTTGGATGGAAAAGTTGTTTCTTGAGAAACTAAGATCAGCTAAAATGAATTTGGCTATGCTAATTAGCATGTCAAAAATCTCAATAAATCTTCCAAAGCAGTGATGACTTGGGGAATGGGAGATGGGATAAGGGGCCAGTCGAGCTACAAACTTAGCTTTCTACTTATAAGGCTCTTATCAAATGATGAACATTATCTATTTTCTAAAAAATCAGCAATCTAAAAATTATTTGCAATAATACCCAAAACCTTCAAAATGTTCTTACTCTGTAACTGTGGGTATATTATCTCCCCGCTTTGTGTCTCAGGATTCTTTGTCTATTAGTAGGAAAAATAAGAAAACTTATCTCAAAATAATGATATTAATGATTTTATGTATGTCAAGCACCTAATACAATGGCTTCTGCCTAGTAAATACTCAAAACTGTAAATTGTGGTTGCAGTTCTGGGTATTAGACGTAACAATTTTTATAGGAACCTATTTTGAGGAAATGGGTTTTAGTTAAAAATGTACATAAACACATTCTGTGTTCTTTCTCAGAACAAACTCAGAAGCAGTGTAAGTTTCTAACACAGGATTAAGCAAATTATGATAACTTCATATGAAAGAAAGTATTATATTTCAGTAAAAATGTTTTTCTCAGACTTATGGAATTAAAAATGCTCATAACAATTATTAAGTAGGGAAAAAGAATACAAAATTATACTATAAACTCAATATAGAAAAAAACTGCATGCATGTATAAAGTGAAGCACATTAAGATATGCACAGATACATAAGATACATAAGCAATAAAGATACACACAAAATATACATATATAAATATATAAATATTAACATCTATAAGTATAAATATATAGGTAGGTAAATATATAAATTAAATACATCAATTATTTAAGATAATATGCAAATAAAAATACAAAAATAAAAGCTAAGATGGTAAAACATAAAAAATGGAAATATGAGAACTTTTAGTTTTTCTCCCTCTCTTCTTCCATTTCTAAGTCATTTACAATGAGTTTACATTACTGTAAATCAGGAAAAAACCTGTAAGTTGAAAAGTCCACTTGAATACTCCTGCTTATAATAAAATTTCTATTATAGTTGCATTCATATTGGCAGCATCTCTTGGATCATCAAAATTTCAGGGTTAAACTTTGCCCTATACTGAAAGGAAAACTCCAAAACAAACCCAACATTTGTTTCTTGTAAACAGGGCAAATGAATGTTCTTAACTGAATTATCTAACCAATGGAACACACGTGTCAGAAACATGGAAGATGTTCATTTACATTTACTCAGGGAGATCAACGAACATGGTTAGCACCCACTGCCTAAGAACTCAGTAAAGGTTTCTGAATTAGTCTGTCTTCCCTGCACAGAGATGTCATGCCATGAGCGCTAGCCAGCCTTAGGGACAGCAGACACAGGTTTAGACCTGGGATCCGCCATATCTCACTCTGGGACTGGACTTAATCACTCTGAACTTAAAAAACAGTGGGAGTTTATCCTGAAAACTAAAATAATGAACATGAAAAGTACTGGGCACAGTCTCTGGTATTCAACAGGCATTTAATAGTTAGGTGGAAGCTCTTATTATGACTACGAAACGTGAAGTGAAGGTAATATGGGCAATATGTAGCTGGACTTGGTCTGGCACCTATTCCAGTGAGTGGTAGGATATGGAGCAAGCCACTTTTACACTTTCAAAAAATGTCATTTCCACTAATACTGATTTCTTGTATTGTACATTCTTCCTACATCTTCACTTTAAATTGGTAAAAGGTTATTATCCACAAAGCTATCTTATTCCCTCTTTTACAAAGAACACTCATATTCTATGAAGTGTCCTAGTATACAGTGACAGGAGACCCTGGCTTTTTCATGCTTACATTTTACTAGTAAGACTGACCTCTCCCTTAGTGGGGAGAATGAGTGTACTGCTGACATAAAGGAGCCATCTACACCTGCGACTTATAAAGCAGGCTAAATGATTTGTCTGAGGGACTAAAATTCCTGGGTTTGTGTTCTAACATGCTGGAAAGGGAGAGGTGGTGGGCAACATGAGTCAAGACACATGAATACAAACATCTAAAATAACTAAATAAGAGATTTCTAACCCTATCTTCTGGTCCAAGCAAAACAGTTAATATTAAAGATAAAATTCAGATAAGAAAAAAGTCAGGTAAGAGCCAAAAATTAAATAACAATTGAATAGAATGGGCAGGAGAGGGAGCTATTAGTTTGAATTCATCACTTGAATGAATCATCTCTCTTCAACAGTATTTCAGATCTCTGCTTCCTACCTACCTCTATCATTGACACTTGAGTTTTTCACTACATATCAGACAGGCAACCAACTTTGGAGATTAATCTCCCCACAAGGTCACTGGAATTAAAGAATATTTTTAAAATAGTCTTTGCTGTTCTAGACACTTTTTATTATTGACATTTCCATACACCAAAGGCCTATAAACACAAATAAAATAAGCAACATTTTCTTCTTGTCCTCAAAAATAAACCAAGCAGAAATATCACAATCACAAAACAAAACACTCTACTTCTGATCGTCCAAACAGTGGGGGGAAGAAGAATATGACTTACCGCAAAAACCCCTCGAACTACCCAGCCATGGTGCTGCCGTAATGTTTTTCCGTATGCATTATCTTTAAAAGAAAAAAAAAATCCATGAGGAACGAGTGCAACAGAGTTTGATGTGCTTTTTATTATAATAAACTTTTTAATGTATGCCATAGTGTAGTCTTATACATGTTAGGAACTGGTGAAAATATATAATTATAAAACCATGTATCCCAAAAGTATTACATAGGAAAAAAAAAAACCAAAAAACCTCACAGGGATTTTTTAAAAGAGATCCTTCTACTCTTATCCTCTGTCAACATAGTATCATAGTAAAAAACGTTCAATATACATAAAGAGGGAGGACAGGATATTGAAAAATTAAAAGTATAATTAAGAATACTGTTAAAATAAATGCAGTTCTTTGAAATGTGACATGACCCCAAGCCCTTAGCTGTCCTCTTTAACTATCTGTATCCCATGCAAAATGATCTCTAAGGTTTTATCAAATCCTGACACTTTATGGTGGGATGTCAAATGTCTGCCCTCAGTGTCCCTAAGGCCCTGAATTAATACTTAAAGCTACTACAGGCCATTAAAAACATTATGGAAAAGTCAGGCATGGCAGTGTATGCTGTAATCTCAGGTACTTGGGAGGGTGAGGTAGGAAGATCACTTCGGTCTAGGAGTTCAAGACAAGTCTGGGCCACACCGGGAGCCCCTCAAGTCTACCCAAAACAAATAACGTTATGAGGAGAATTGACTGAATTAAGTTAATTACCAAGTAACTGGTGAGGCCTATTGATTAGTCATTAATGTTTTGCACTTCAAAGACAGTAATTATTTCTCTCTCAAGGTGTTTTAAAGTGAAATTTAAAAACTGGGATATAATAATTTCAATCACAAAAAAAAATCACAAGAACTGCTGTCTTTTATGCAAGGAATACATTCTGAAATTTTGGAATTATTCAACATATGTAAAATTCAAATCTGGTTTTCCCACATGGATGAATGCATTCTCAGCAGACACAGATCTGCATCACCACCCTGCATTTTTACTTCAATGCTCAATTTTATTTGAAAGTGTCCTCTCTACTAGTATTACTAGCATAGTATATCCTAGCAGCTGTTTGACCTTCATCTTTGTATTTTACCTGACCACATCTGAATGCCCTCTTCCAAACTTACTCATTTTCATGTTAGTTTTAGCACCTAGCACAAGTATAACCATTTAATGAATGCATAGGTGACACTATAACTGTCTATAAAAATATTTTCAATTAAAATAAAGAGAACATATTAAAATAACAGAAAGAGTGACAGTAAGACTACAAGTAGAAGTTCCTATGCAGTGTAAACAATGTAGTTCACAGAATATTGTTACAGGGTCAGAGTACTTGTGTATTACTTGCAAAAATGACCCTGCCATGTGGGTGCAGTTTACTAACATTTCACAGCCTACTCAAACTCACAAGCTTTGTAATAAGCATAGTCAATCTTTATTTTATTTTATTTTATTTTATCTTTTTGGTACCGGGGATTGAACTTGGGTCCTCCCGCTTGCAAGGCAGGCCAACGAACTGCTGAGCTAAATTCCTGGCCCTTTATTTTAAAAGTCTGGAGGCTTTATTAATATTTATATATCCTATTTCAATTTTATAAAATTTGAATTTGTACAAGTAGTTTTATATAAAAAACGTATTCACTATTAGTTGCATTATATTTTGTATAAAAGACTGTACATTTGGACTATAACAAAAGATTTCCCTGGCTGTCTAAAATATTAAGAACAGGTTGAAGTGCCAGCAATCAATGTGGTAAAGTTCAAGCAGAGGTAATACAAAGTTAAATCCAAGTGTAAAGACTCAGCACAAGGGAGGAACTAAGATTAAATTTAAGTTTTTTCCTTAGGAAACACTGAGTAGACCACGAATAGTCAAAGACATGCATCTTTAATATAAGCCACAAACCCAGATGATTCTCTGGAAGGGGATGGGGACATGTATACAAGGTCCATGAAGATATCTAAAGAAGGGGGCTGCTGATCCACAAATATACAGTAGAGATACCAGATACAATCACTGAGAAAAGCCAGCAAGACTACCACATTTCCAACCATTTCAACCATCTAATGAGCCTTATGGGCTGCCAAGAGAGTACACAAGTCCACAGAAAACACCCGAAGGGGAGTTAACTAGCAGACTTCTTGTCTCGTGATCGTAATCCAGGCAGGGCATCAAATACCATTATAAATACATTCAAATCTGCTGGTAGATATCTATAACAAACAACTGGTCCACTTAAGACACCCCACATACTGTGCAAGGAAGAAGCTGAAGGATTTACAAGGGAGCTTGCTAACAGTTACTGTGGAGATTTGTACATAGTGCTATAGGAACAGAGATAAATCCAACTTGAGTATGGTGGCCAGAAAGAATTAGGAGTTCTGAAGGCTCGGTAGAGAAAAGGGGAGTGGGTGGCCATGGGCAGAAGCACAATAGAACTGGGACAGGTCATGGTATGCTGAGCATTAGTGAGCAATTCACTCTGACTGGGGAGGGAGGCTGGAGCCAAATTGTGATGACCGTTATCACATCAAGGAGTCTGAACTTCTGTGGCATTGTGGCACTTTTAAAAAAATAACATTTTTTTTCTGATTTCACAAAAAATGTATAACCTACACAGAAAATATGAAAAAAACTAAAAACAGGAGAAACTGAAGAAATCTATAGTCCATTGATGATGAATGTTTTAGAGCTTTCACTGATAACAGCCCTCTGTGGTGTACCATTGGTTCACTACCAGTGCTACAGTTATTTCTCTCAGACTTAACCACAGTATGCATTCCAGGGAAATACTGTCTTTTACAGAAAAAATTGCTATACTATAGAATGTATTATTTTCTTGTTAAAAAGTCACCATCAACCAGACAAATGTCATCATCTGGTTTGGAATTCCTGTAGGGAATTTCATAAGATGAGACTCATACTTTTTGACAATAAGTATCAGATATAGAGCTGTCCTGGTCTCTGAGCCATCAGATAGAAGGCAACTTGACTGAACAAACTACTTGTGTAAAAGCGCTCTGCATTCTTGACATCCAGGTTAACCATTCAAAAAAAAAAAAAAAAAACCTGGAAACTCTTCTCCATGTCATCCTTCTAAAGGACAGGAAGAAGACAAGAAGAAAGTAGTCTATGAGTCCAAACAGCATTGCCACCCTGACCTAAGGATGAGGGGGTGTGCCTACAGCTGTGCCACTGTGTCTGCCCACCTGGTCCTACAGAGGAAGCAGCTGTTGCTTGTACCTGCACCTGGACAGAGGAGAGTCCCATCTGCAAGATGATCCAGATGGCCTAACAGAAGAAGAATCACAGAATATGGTTTGGGTCCTGCCTCAGGCAAGGAAGCCAACTGCTGAAATTTAAAATCATCAAATGAACTGAAACTCATTTTTTCAGAAGGCCAAAAATTCTTAGCTGACTTCTAGGGCTGCAAATATCCCTGCCACATTAGGCTGCATTAAAATAAGATGAAGTCTAAGCCTGACCTATTTTGGTTACCTAGAGAAGATTAGATAATGAAATATATTAATCTTCATAATAATATGCATTCAATATCACAATGCATATTCTATAATCTGAGAATATTTTTGGCCTCTGAAAGACATAAATGCTACCTTTTCCCAATTCTTTGAGACATGTCAGTTCCCTAGAGACTCAATCAGAACCTCCCACTAGGAAGACTTGACAATCACTTGCCCAATTCTCTACCTCTTATAAATGAAGACACGGAGGTCCCAGTGACTTGCCCAAGGTTATAAAGCTAAAAATCAATGAGATCTTGGGGCATTTGTGTATCACCTCAAAACCATTCTGCCAAAAACATTTATTCTTTGTCAAACAATAATGAAAATGAAAAATGTTTGCCAGTCATTTCCTGAAGAATCAGCACCTTATTCTGCTTACAAAATGCACAGATCTTTTTGAAAAAAATAGATATGAAATAAATGCTCAGAGATTACCTTTGTGAACTTCAGACATTATCATGAGGAAAACTTGGTGGTCAGTCAATCCTGCCAGTGCAGACACATGCTGGAAGGTCTGTAGAGAGGGCATGACTTGATTCATGCTCCAGAGTGTTTACAGAATAATTAGTCGTTACAATTTGATATTAAATATGTGAGTATGAGTTCTTTTTCTCACTTAGTTCTCCTTGTCTCTGAGAGCCTTTTACATTAATACATGACTGAGCATCCTTTAAAAGTTTTTTTCCTATCCTGCACCAGAGATCTTTTTTGGGTTAATCTTTCAGTGACATTGATGGTATCATTCTAAAGTGAGAGATATGGCAATATGCTATCCTGATGAAAGAACAGGCCAGAGCACATAACATTTAGTATAACGGCACATGAAATGACAAGCACTTTTCTTCCTTCTACTACAAGGGTGCTTTCTAAAACCTTTTTGATGTGGCTTCTGCAAATAGAGGGGCTCAGTCCTAGGGCAGACTATTAAATATATCTGTCTTCAGGGCTCAACTCATTCCTTAAAATGACCTCTACTGAGTGACACAGGATGCTTAGGGTACCCAGCACTGTTGGCATCAGATTACCCAAAATGTTACTCTATGACTGTCATTATGGGGAGTCTAACTCATGGCCCAAGTAAAAATGGGGGCAGTTTGAAGCATAAGGCCTCCTTCCATGTACTAGGAGCTGTTCTAGGTGACAACAGTACTGCAGCAATAAAATCATGACAAATAATTTTCCAGAAAGGTAACAAACATCGATCATTCTAGTGTGTGTGTGTGTGTGTGTGTGTGTGTGTGTGTGTGTGTGTATTTTAAACAAGGTCTTGCTGTGTCACCTAGATTGGTCTTGAACTATACGGTCCAGGGTGATCTCAAAAATCACAGCAATCCTCCTACTTCAGCCTGATGAGTGGTGGGATTACAGGCATGTATCATCACACCTGCCTCCCATGTGTCATGTAGAACTCTGACATGTCATCACCTATCTCCAAGGCCACTAAGACTAAAAAAGTTTCATACGCATTTACTTCAAAACATTTCTTAAGCAGTGTTTTACTGAAGAGCTCTAATTATGATGAAAGAAGGCAAAATTAACTGATGCTATGACTAATATCCTACTTATTAATAATCCCTCAGATATAGGGAGGGAAAAAAACCTTTATGTAGTCAAGTGGCAGGTAAGCTTCAATGTCGTAGATCTACTGGTAGATGAGCAGGTCTCAAACTTTAGCATGGATCAGAATTTCCCTGAATGATTTGTTAAAACACTTCCAGGACTCACTCTGGAGTTTCTGATTCAGCAGGTCTGGAGTGGGGTCTGATGGTCTATGTTCTAGTAGGTTTCCAAGTAGTGAAGATGCCACCATCCTGGGGCAAATGTGACAACGTGATCTAGGTTTTGAAGCTCTAGGGAAGGTACCCTCTCTAAACCAATTTATTTGGAAGATTAAATATTTATGAAGAACTTGGTATTATCATTATACTGGGTAGTCTTTAACAATAGCTGTTATCACCATAAATCAAATTCAATTTTAGAATTTAAAACAAACCAAGCTAATTTGACTATGTATGGCATATAAAGAGCATATACCCTCTGTTTTACCTATATATCCACCATCTCTCATTCCAGACAAGATAATAGTCCCACTTATATAGCCTGTGACTTTAAAATGAGAAAAGAAAAGCCATTATCCCACAAGAAATGTGCATTGAGCCTAAGAGGTATGAACAGCTATTGTGTAAACAAGTCTCAAACCACATTTGTCTGCACAGAGCTTGTTATGCCTATGTCTGGAAGGGACGAAGGGTAAGTTGGTTAGGTGCAATTCATCTCTTCTCACTGAAGAGCAGCAGGAAATTAGAGATTACTATAATCAAAGATACGATTTTAAATAAAGAAACCATCTTTAAATGAACATGAACTTCAGAACGAGAATTTCAAATTCACATCCCTCTTTTCAGCACTGAAAATAAGATCTGTAGGGAAAGAGTGAAAAGGAAGAGCTGAGATCAGCGGTGATCAATTCAGTCACAAAGCAGCTTTTGGCCTTTCAAAGTTTCCTCTTTCTTCAGAGTCCACATCTACTGGGCTCAGCCTCCTAAGTTTCATACGCATTTACTTCAAAACATTTCTTAAGCAGTGTTTTACTGAAGAGCTCTAATTATGATGAAAGAAGGCAAAATTAACTGATGCTATGACTAATATCCTACTTATTAATAATCCCTCAGATATAGGGAGGGAAAAAAACCTTTATGTAGTCAAGTGGCAGGTAAGCTTCAATGTCGTAGATCTACTGGTAGATGAGCAGGTCTCAAACTTTAGCATGGATCAGAATTTCCCTGAATGATTTGTTAAAACACTTCCAGGACTCACTCTGGAGTTTCTGATTCAGCAGGTCTGGAGTGGGGTCTGATGGTCTATGTTCTAGTAGGTTTCCAAGTAGTGAAGATGCCACCATCCTGGGGCAAATGTGACAACGTGATCTAGGTTTTGAAGCTCTAGGGAAGGTACCCTCTCTAAACCAATTTATTTGGAAGATTAAATATTTATGAAGAACTTGGTATTATCATTATACTGGGTAGTCTTTAACAATAGCTGTTATCACCATAAATCAAATTCAATTTTAGAATTTAAAACAAACCAAGCTAATTTGACTATGTATGGCATATAAAGAGCATATACCCTCTGTTTTACCTATATATCCACCATCTCTCATTCCAGACAAGATAATAGTCCCACTTATATAGCCTGTGACTTTAAAATGAGAAAAGAAAAGCCATTATCCCACAAGAAATGTGCATTGAGCCTAAGAGGTATGAACAGCTATTGTGTAAACAAGTCTCAAACCACATTTGTCTGCACAGAGCTTGTTATGCCTATGTCTGGAAGGGACGAAGGGTAAGTTGGTTAGGTGCAATTCATCTCTTCTCACTGAAGAGCAGCAGGAAATTAGAGATTACTATAATCAAAGATACGATTTTAAATAAAGAAACCATCTTTAAATGAACATGAACTTCAGAACGAGAATTTCAAATTCACATCCCTCTTTTCAGCACTGAAAATAAGATCTGTAGGGAAAGAGTGAAAAGGAAGAGCTGAGATCAGCGGTGATCAATTCAGTCACAAAGCAGCTTTTGGCCTTTCAAAGTTTCCTCTTTCTTCAGAGTCCACATCTACTGGGCTCAGCCTCCAAATGAAATAAAAAGTATCAGGTAGAAGAGATAAAGGTACAGAAGTGGGGTGGGGCAGTGTCTAAGGGTATATATCCTCCACCTCCATTCCACCCTTCAGGGTCAAAGCCTTTTCCTGTGAGCAGCTGGTTCTATTTTACCCCCACCCCAGGAAGGGCTAAATGGGATTAGCACTGCCCTCCTCTCCACAGAGAGACCTACTAGAACATAGCAGCATGCCAGGTACACAGTACTGACTCCTGAATCTTCTATTTCCTACAGATGAACTCATCCTTTCAGTGTGAAATTTCCATTAAGAAGTTGGTCTGCAGAGAAGCTTCTGGTTCAGTAGCTGAGCATTACAAACTTACCTACCATTTCTGATTTGGGACCAAAAGGGCCCATTTCCAGGCAGGTTATCAACCTCATATGTGATGGTGGTGATGATCATGATGACAAAAGTATACACAACAACAGGAGCGAACCTTTACTGAGTGCTTATTATATGCCCAGTACTTTTTGAACTTTATTTTTCAGATGCACAAAACTATATAATCTCTACTAAAACCTCATTGGAGAAACAGTACCATCAGTCCCACTTTATAGATAAAAGAAATGAAGGCACAGAGAGTTAAGTGAATTGCCTAAGAGCAAAATGCTAGAGCACATGAACCATTTCAGAATCCAAGCTCCCAAGTCACTCCATATCCCTTACCATTCCACAGATCCTGGCTAGGGGCATGTGTAGATGTGGTGAATACACTTTTAGTACTTAAAAAGCACAACACAAGAGAATATAACTGAACCTATCCTGGAAATATAGAGTTTCGTGTGGAATTAAAAATGCAAAGTGCTCAGGGATGGTGAAGACTCTGTGGGAAACATGAGTAGTTTTAAGACAAGGGTCCCAAAGTTACCCTGCTTCAGATCCCTGTGGGTGTTGGAAGCAAGTATTTTAGCCTTTCATAATTTTGATTCCCTATTGTACAAAAATGGACTGATGGGATGATTAAGTTGTCTAAATCCACAAAGTACTACAGCAATGTCCATACTGATTGTTTTTTTTTTTTTGTACCGGGGATCGAACTCGAGTCCTCCCACTTGCGAGGCACGTGGCGGAACCACTGAGCTAAACCCCCGACCATACTGATTGTTTTATGGCACACCAGAATTTCTAGACAGGGTAGCTTGCAGAAATCATATGTGGGAGCACACTCTTAGGATTCATGGCCCAGAAGGAAGACTGACAGAAGGAGATAGAATCTACCTGTGAAAATAAAAAAATGACACACACAACACTGGCTCCCCTCCCTACCAGAAACATTTAATCAGTTCATTTTACTGGTCATAATCATGGCTACTCAACACTTAACTATAAATTATAGTAATATAGGGCTTTAAAATAATACAGTATTTTCATCCTTCTCCAAATACATGCCTCAAGGCCTATGCTGAAAGAATTTCTGATAAACTGAGCTGATTTAGCCACTCCATCAGGAACTCTGTGAGGGTGCTTCCAAGTCGTAATAGTCTCCAAAATAAAGTCTGATAGTTGCATGCATGTAACCATCCATTCACCCATCTGTCCAATGCTAAGCACCTACAATGTTGTTGTCAGTGCATTAAGATGCTAGATATATAGTATGATCACCTTTGACCAAGGCCTTTCTCCAAGCCTTGGCTTTATAGTACAAAATGGGACACAGATAACTTGAGGCTTACAGGATGTTGACAACCCTTAATCTCAATCTAGAGCAAATCCCCAGGATTCCTACCTCCAATTCCTTTTTATAGCCTCTAAAGTTAGCTTCTCTTTGAATAATTATTTGAGGGTTGCCCTGAAGACTTATTTAAGAAAACTAACTTCTTAATAATATTATGTCTTCCTATTAAACTTAAGGGGGCTGGGGATTTAGCTCAGTGGTTCTGCCACCTGCCTTGCAAGAGCAAGGTCCCGAGTTTGATCCCTGGTACAAAAAAAAAAAAAAAAAAAAAAATCAGGGATGGTTTTCTATCAATTTATACTTCTTTAAAATACACTAAGTTTGGGGCTGGGGATTTGGCTCAGTGGTTCTGCCAGCTGCCTCACAAGCACAAGAACCTGAGTTCAATCTCTGGCACCAAAAAAAAAAATTACACTAATTTTTAGTGAGTAACTAGATTACCCAAAGTCCCTTTTTTGGACTAGGTACTCATAAGTCCCTTTTTTGGTTTTGTTTGGTTTTGGGTTTTTGGAGACAGGGTCTTGCTATTTATAGTTCAGGTTGGCCTTGAACTCATTATGTAGTCCAGGATCGCCTCAAACAGCGATCCTCCTGCCTCCTCAGCCAACTGAGTGCTAGGATTACAGGTGTGCACCACCATGCTCAGCTCATAAGTCCTTTCAGACAAAGCATATAAGAAGCAAACAATACAAGGGGAAAATATGAGAACCAAGACCTGTCATGTAAAGGTACAAGATCTCAATGATAAATATAACTGTACTGTATAAAAACTGTATCAATAAACTCAATGAGGGAAAAAAAGAAAATAGCTTTAATAAATAAAAAAGAAGCAAATGATCCATAACAATGAAATAAACAAAATCAAACTGTGAAAAGTAGAAATGTCTTACACTTTGTTTCCTCCTCTAGGGGTCGCCATTCAAAATACTATTCAATTGATCTATCAAAATGTAAAAAACACTTACTCAGGGCTGTCTGGATATCCTTTTCACCATTTTTCACTTCTGTCAAAAATCCCTTTAAAAATTTGAGACCTCTGAAATAAAGAAGACAAAAGAATGTTTTCAGAGTTTGCTTATATTTTGACAGAGTATAAAAAAATAGCAGATACCAATGCTCCTATTTCACTAATATCTCAGGCACAGCAGTAAACAGGCCAAATCATACACTAGTCTTTTCTGAGTCTCTTTCCTATCGTATCCCTTTATGATGCTCTGTACTGTCTCCTTACCCCATCTGACATACCTAAAGTAGTGGCTTTCAAAATGTGGTCCCAGGACTGGGGCTACAGCATCACTTGCGATTTATTAGAAATGTAAATTCCAGGGTCTTACCTCAAACTTAAGGAGTCAGAAATTTTGGTTTAAAGTCCAGTGTTTTTAACAAGCCCTCCAGGAAATTCTGATGCCACTAAAGTCGGAGAGCCAGTGACTTAAAGAGAAACCAGCTGGCTCTCCTGTGCTTTAAAATTTCTATCATATATCTATGCATGTATGTATTTTAACATAAACAATATCACCATCAGAAGAGATGCAAAAAAAAAAGCTGATGTTCTACTCATCAGGCCTTCTAGACAGGGTAATATGATTTGGTTTGATTCTTCATTCAGAAGTAGTCTCTTTGCACAACAATTTCTTGCTGGTAACATTCAACTGTGCTAGATATTAGCTGCTGCCCCACCAACTGCCTCACCTCTTCAGCCACAAGAGGGCTTCAGTAGCTGAGTTCCTAACCTGAGCTACATCCGCCTCCACTTCGTGCAGCACTATTTTCTGGAGGGTAGTAAACTCTTCCTTGTTGGTTATATACTTCTGATTTACTTTCTGGAGGAAAAACAGGGAAATAACCTAAGTTAAAAACACTAAAGTTACCAAGCAAATCAGTTCTAGTATTGAGACTTTACTTTGGCAGGAAGGCCTCTAAGAAATGAAAGTAAAACTATTAACTTTCTTCCTTATGTTTTCAAGGCATTGTGTTTTTTTTGTTTGAGAATTCTGAGGCTAAAACTAGAATTCAATATTACTTCTAGAGTTTTAAACTATTGTTTTTGAAGTATTATTTTCCTGCCGTTGAGCCTCTTTTACAGCTGTGTTTGGCAGACATTTTTCATATAAAACTCATCAAGGACTATGTTAATGTAACTATTCCCTCAGAATACACACTATGAATGCCTGTAGAAATTCTTTATCCTGCTTCTTCAAAGAGTGGTAGTGATGAAGGAGACTGATCTTTGTTTACTATATTCTCAAGTTAACATTCAATCTACATTTAAGAAGAGACCCAAAGTTTAAAAGTAATATATGCAACTCACTTATTAACTAGGGGATAACATTTCTCTCTTTTTCTGGTGCTGGGAATCAAACTCAGGACCTTGTGCTTGCCGGGCAAGGGCAGTGCCACTGAGCTACGTCCTTGGCCCTACTCACTCATTAATTAGGAAGGATGAGGCTCAGAGAGACTTTGTGAGTTGCTGACCCAGTTGCACCCAGGAGTCAGACATTTTGAGTCCCAGAACACTAATAATTTTCTCTAACACTGTTGGGAAACATGTAATTTGACACTGTTTTTACCTAAAAAGCACAGAATCAATGCTGACATAACAGTGAATCTCCACTGACCCATGCTCTGGGCCTGATAAGGAAATGCTGGTTTCATCTTTAAAAGAACATTCTACCCCCAAAATGCTTGCCTCCAACATACAGCAAGGGTGTCATTAGTTATTCTGCTAAGCATTCACAATGTTTGAGAACAAAGATTTTTGCTCTCTGAAAAAGCTGTTAATACCTTTTTACCTTTTGATTTAAATCCTTGTTAAACACAAAAGTATTGAAAATGTTTTTCTTTATTTACAAGTTTTCACAGAGACAAGCCAGTGTACAAACCTTAATATTTCCAACAAGATCCATTTTAACAGGAGCAAACACTGTAGGGCCAAGTTTATCTAGAAGAAAGAACCAAAACTTTTTTGAATTTTTTTTTTGAGACAAGGTCTTGCTGTATAGTTCAGGTTAGCTTTGAACTCACTTATGTAAGCCCACGCTGGCTGTGAAATTGCATGCCTCATGTCTCAGCCCCATAGTGGTGGGATTACAGGCAACAGATTTTTAAATTTTTAAGCAAAATATTTTAATAGTAGCAATACATTTAACAGATACCATTTTCTAAACATAAAGTTTAAAAGCTTGACACTGTTATTATCTTTTTTTATCACATTATTCTGAGGTGAGTAACTATAAAGAGGTCCTAAATGGCAGGTGAGATGCAGATAATCTTATAAGCTTGTTTGTTTGTTTTGTTTTGGTACCAGGGATTGAACTCAGGTCCTTGTTCTTGCAAGGCAGGCCACCGAACTGCTAAGCTAAATCCCTGGCCCCTTATAAGCTTAGAATATACTTTTGTGTATTCAAGGCTGAACTGTCCACTATGAGAGCTACTAGACATAAGAATATTTAGCACCTGCAAAGTAGCCATTCTAAATTAAAATGTAAGTACACACCAAATTTTGCAGACTTAGTACCAAAGAATGCAAAGTAGCTCAGTATTGATTATTGACTACATGTTGAGATATTTTGGATATACTATGTTAAATAAAATATATTACTAACTTTTGTTTTACTGTTTTAATATATCTTCTCAAAATACATTTGTGGTTAGAATATTTATTAGAAATGTTTGCTAAATATAATTACCAATTTTAATTAAGTTTACTAAAATAATATTTACTGAAAAAGAAGTACAGTTTTAAAAGGCTAGAAGAGAAAAGATAATGGAATTCTAAAAAAAATCTCATTGATTTTTAAAAAGATACAACAGTTTAAAAAGCCAAGAGAAGAAATAAAATAGCACACTAAAAATAATTGGCTGAGCATGAGGAAAGGCATTATAAGGGAACAGAGAAAACAAAGTAAATAGCAACCTGGTAGAACCAAACAGCAAGACAGAATTAATCATAATAATGTATTTCATTATATTAAATTATAGGAAAAAATGTAATGATTTTAATAACTATAGAAAAAGCTGTTTATATAAAACAATTCTAGTACTTAGCACATAAAGATCAATTCATCTACATATTATCAATAGCTGGAACATGAAATAAGAAACTTTGTGCAATAGCATCAAAAACCACATAATTCCAAAATTTATTCCTAAAAAAAGACAAAACTGTACAAAACACTGTTAGAGAAAATAAAGATGGTTTATTGAGTGGATATATATTAAGTGGACTTATTAAGTGGAGAGAGAAAGAGGGGGAGAGAGAGAGAGAGAGAGAGACAGAGAGAGAGAGAAAGAATATATGAATATAAATATTCATGGACTGGAAGATTCAATGGTGTTCAAGATAGCAATTTTACCCTAACTGGTTTACAAACACAATGTAACCTTAATCAAAAGGCTTTTTAACAGAAGCTAAAAAGCTAAAATTTACAAACATGCAAAGGGTTTAGATAGAATTGCCAAAACAATCTCAAATAAGAACAAAACTGGAAGACTTGCATTATCTAATTTCAAGCTTTATAATAACAAAGACACTGTAGTATTGGCATATGGAAACACACAGATCACTGGAACAGAAAAGAGTTCATAAATAAAAGTCATTTAATAAAGTCAACTGGCTTTTTACAAAACTGCCAGAAAAATGTAAAAGAGAAAACACTGGTTTTTTGATAAATAATTCTTGAACAATCAGATTATCATAAGGAAAATAAAAATTAACCTCAAATCCCTTACTCATACTGCACACAAAAAGTAATTCCAAGATAGATGACAGAATAAGTGTAAAAACTGAGTCTAGAAAAAAAAACCTGAGTTTGAGAAAACAGAATATTTTACGACTTTTTGTTGTAACAAATGAAGATTTCTTAGGACATGGAAAACAACTATGAAAGTAAGCCATACTGCACACAAAAAGTAATTCCAAGATAGATGACAGAATAAGTGTAAAAACTGAGTCTAGAAAAAAAAACCTGAGTTTGAGAAAACAGAATATTTTACGACTTTTTGTTGTAACAAATGAAGATTTCTTAGGACATGGAAAACAACTATGAAAGTAAGCTGGACTTTATCCAAATCAAACTTCTGCTTTTCAAAAGCTTTTTTTTTTTTTTTT